GTGTGTATGTGCCTTTTTGTTTCCTTGTCTTAAGGTTTTATTTCTTAATTATGATTGTTCACCAGCTCGCCTGCGTTTTGACTCCTAGAATGTGGCGGGAGATGGAGATCACGACGCTGAATGGCTAATGGTGATGATGATGATGTTGGCTTTCAACTGAAGCGCCACTTTATGGTCAACACCCAAACTATTTTCGCGAGTCTCAACGTCATCGTTGTTGCATGTGAAGCGGTACGTGTGAACGAGCACATTTCGCGAAACTTGAGTGTCGCGAAACCGTTGCGTGCCTAAAAGATGCATCGTGTGAACAGACCTTAATTGAGCAGAATATCACTGCGCTACTGGGAGAGGGTGGCCCCCGTCCAACCCTTGCGATACAACTTGCGCGTCCGAGGGAGCTTCTAGAGACTTCGGCGCAAGCACGAATGACGTTGAGAGTTCGGAGCACGGTATGGTAGCGCAGAACGAGCAGCTCCTACCTCGGTGCCGTTCCTGGCTGCGCCGGAGCCTTTCGGCCTCGGGGTCGGGTCGCGATTGGCAAGGTTTGGCAAGGCGAAGCGCAGTGGCGTTCTCAGAGTGGTTGGAAACAATCTCGGCCGCTAGGCCGTGCGCTCGCACGTCACCTCTGATCGTGAGTGGCCCAGCATCCTGACCCAAAGCCCAAAACGCTTAAGTTTTGATGTTTCTTCCGTCTGTCAACTCCTCGCACAGCATCAAAGACAGTGGACACGATCTTAATGCTCACCGAAAGCGTCGAAAGGCCTTCACGTGCTATGCACCGGAAAATGTCACGTGGTGCGGCCGACGCCGGAAACGCAGCTTTAACTTTGAAGTTTGACACGGCGTGGCGCCACCTTCACGCAGGGCTTGGTGCGCATTCATGTAAACGTTGCCGCGTCGGCTTCCTTCGAAGGACGATTGGAGTCGATGGGCTGATGTCATACTCATGTAAACTCGACTACTGTCCGATTGCTTTAGCCAGCTTCTTTGGTAAAACACACGAAAGTCTGATAAACAAGCGGCTGTTTTACATCCTGGAGAACATTTGAGATAACAACCAATGCGGCTTCCGCCAAGGATGATCGACCTTGGATCATTTGGTGCACTTAGAAACTGTTGTGTTTTGTACATATTCTAACATGCTTTATTTAATAACAAGATAAGTGGCCGACGAGGAGTTGGCTTTCATACATAGCTGCCGTTTGTCTCCCGTCCATTGGTTGTGCCGCGCACGGGCTTGGGGCGCGACGGTGACGCAATGGACCGGAGGCGCCATCTCTTAGCAGATTGTGTAGTCGATACACTACACTACTCCGTTTTAAAGGGAAGCTGAAGCGATTTTAAATATGAGAAACAACACCTGAGCCTAGTTAATGAGACCTCAGCCATCACGAATATCGTATTCGTTTGGTCATTTTCTGCGCGGATTAACCGGAAAAGCGCCTTCAAAGTAGCACCGAAGTCACGCCTCTCCGAAGCAGAGGGAAAGGGGAGAGAGAGGAGGAAGCCTGTCAGCCGGCATTATAAAAGGACAAAAGGACCGGCTGGGGGACCCCGCCGCGGATGGCTGCGCTTTCCTCGTAGGCTGCTCTAGTGTCTTTTCGAGCCGTCGTCGTTCTGCCGCTGCATAGCGCTTGCTTTTATCCGTTGACCGGTCATGCTATTGATTCACTCGCCTGACATGTTGATTGTTCTCTTGTTTGGTCACGTGTTTGCAGAATTCTCGTGGAACCGAACCAACTGACTCATGCTGTTGCACGATGCCGTACTCATGTGTAGCCGCCAGCTTTATCGAACAGCACTCGACGCAGTTGTTCTTCCCGCTTACTGTCTTTTCCACTTTGTCACCGAGATTTTAAAGGGGTGGGTGGGTTTGAGCAAATACACCGTTTTTTTGTTCGAAACGTGTTTCGGACGGCGCATATGAAAACTGTGTACGTATGGGGTTTGGGTCTGAAGAAGGCTCGCCTGAACCCGACAATCTGCCGACCATCTTTGAAGGTAAGAAGGCAATTCAGCGCATTAAAAGGCACAAGCAAAAAGGAAACGTAACTAGGTAGGAATTGTAGGTCGACTGTTCTAGAAAAAAGATATTACGTTATTAGAATTGTGCAGTGTGCTAGAAAAGCCGCGATCATTTAGCCGAATAGCGGGTTTCTACTGGCTCTGTGTTAACCGCCTTATATTAGTGTTTTAGCGTTGGTTTCTTATATTGTTGAAGTGACCATATTTTCCGGACAGACTCCGGTGCGGGAAGTCTGGGAAACAAAAGAAAGCAATCTTGTGTAGCCCAAGATTATTTTCTTTTGCTTTTAATCTATTCGGCTACCCAGTCACTTGGGAGAGAAGGGCTTGCTCTAATAAGTGGTCATGCAATTCATAATGCAACTTTCACGGTGCAACTTGTTTTAGCATAAACTTTTTTTTACAGTTGCTGACATTATTTGAGGTCACATATTTTTTTAAATGTAAACATAAATTTTGTTAAATTTTCCTTCCAAAGGTTTATATTCTTACAGGAGAGCTTTGTAGAAATACTAAGCATGTGACCTTCTGTTCTGAATCAATTTCTTTTTTTACAAGTAAGTGTTTTCCGTATAAAGTTTGTCATGCAACAATTCTTTGTGCCGTAGAAATTCGATCGGACGATGATAATGCCTGGTGCTGGTGTGATGCAGTCAACAAATCTTGGTAGAAATATGTGAATGTAGAGGCCCAGGAAGCTTTCACGATTTCGACATCAAATTAATGGCTGCCGGGCACATATCTCTACTTTTCCTAAAGCTATAATGGCGTAATAGTTTGTGGCAAACATACTAAATGCAGCAGAGGGTACCGCTATCACAAGGATGGACCTTCTGCACAGTTATTTGCATAGTGCGCAAGGACATGGCGGTGGCAGAACGACGACCCTGTCTCATCACCCGTTTGATCTCAGGGGAAGCTCTCCCGTCGCCCAAAGCCGATTATACTATCCCATCAAACCACTTCAGCCTTGATGAACAATGCAGCCTGCATGCTCATGCGTTCAGCAGCTGGCAAGCACGAAGGCCGATGTGTGCGGATTTCTTGTCTTCTGACAACCGTTTTGGGGAGGGTCACGCTAATCCGGTTTGAGGCGTCTCGTCAATAGCACTCCGTTTATTGTCAACGTTTTACGTTACAATGAGTAGCAGTTGGTACGTTCCTGAAGGTATGAAGCCGGCCATGTCGCGTCTGCACAAGTGGTTCCTAGTGTCTGCGTTTATTACTGCGGGGGGTCATTTTGCTCATTGCCAACGGCTGGAACGCGTACTTTGTCATGTCGAGGGTCGTCTGGACATATTTCTCTTTCGGATCGACCGAAAGATTTCGAAAAATCAGAGGCCGGACCCGATGTAGAAGAGCAGAAGACCCGGCGCCGGCTACTTCCGCAAGCGACGGAGCAAACGAGAATCGAGGTGGTCCTTTTATGACGTAGTGGCGTGTCACGCATCACTAGCCACCAATGGCGTGCCGCTGCGGCGATCGCTTCTGATTTCTTTGCTTTTTTTCGCCTTTAGGGATTATTTCGGGTCATGCGGTTGTGATATTTGGACTCAGCAGGCACAAACACGTCAAATCAACCATTAACTCATTTTTTTCGAAAAGCTCTCATCTTCCCTTTAAAGAAGACTACATAAATCTTCCCGGCTTCCGGTCAGTTCGTGGATCTTCTTATTGGTGTACTTGCAGTGTCCACTGTCCTTGTTTTGTCAGTTGCGTAGCCCTGGTTCTGTTTGACTTGGTCATTGTGACTCCTTGCGACTCCTTGCAGAGTTGACATTGTCATAATAGATGTTCCGCTGGTGTCATCGATGTCACCCAGCCACCAACGCGGCCCTTTACAAAAGTTGCAAACTGTGACCTTGTCATCCTTTTTGTTGCGTGATCCATTCTTCTCTCCTTTGGGCCATTGCACGGGCTCTCTTGGCAACTGCTCCAAGATTGCCTACTCACCTTTTCTGAGAATGCAGAGGTCCAGTCTTGCTTTCATCGGACAAGCCAGCATGTGCTCTGCAAAGACGTTCCATTTGGACGGGGTGCTATGTGGTACATGAGCAACCATTGGGCAAGTCGGAGCTTGAGGTCTCTTCCTTGTGTTTTCTTGGGTCCGTCCTTCACTGTGTGAGCAGCTCGTTCTGCCAAGCCATTCGACGATGGATGAAAAGGAGCAGCTTGGAGGTGCTTGATTTCATTTCTCTGGACGAAGTATTGGAAAGGCTGACCAGTAATGGGAGTTCTATTGTATACCGGATCTAGTACTGCGTAGCTTTTAAAATTACCATTTCATAACTCATTAGCAATAGCAGCTTGATTTTTTAATTTTGTTTGGGGCGCGGATGGCCTTGGTTGCTGTTGAGCCATGAAGCCCTCAAACAAGAACGCGCATCACAAACGACCACGCGAACCGGCGTCTGGTATATGTTCCATCTTGGGCAAGATAGCGACGTGCCACTTTAACTTGGCCGCCTCGCTGCCATTTTGCTAATGGTACATCAGCTTCATTGAAGAGCACTCTCTCCACTCGAGGGATTCTTTATTTAAGCTCTTCTGCTCAAACGAGGCGTAGCTGCAGTGCCTGGAAGGCGTCTCCAACTAGCATGTTTACCGCCTCTTCATTTTGTCTCTCTTGATTTCTGCCTCGTGACGTCACCACTGGCACGTCTAGTTGCTGCCCACGATCCTGGCAGTGGGTACGGTAGATGGTTGTTCCTCCACTCTACAGTCTCGGCCAGCTGGCAGAAGCCAAAGCAGCCTCGGGTTCAGAAGTTGCGTTGACAGTACTTCCCCTCGCCTTTTTTGCAGGCACTCGTTGACTATTTGCCAGGATCTCGGCGAGCGACTAAATGTGCCACGTGCTTTCTGTTCTGTCATTTGTTGCCATTTTGGGACCACTTTGGATGTGTGGGTGGAGTAGGATGCTCAATGCACAAGGGGATGCTGCCTTCCAGGTACCGTAGTGTGATGTTTCTCCGCAGGAGTTCCTCTGGAACCCGATGGTGGACGCGGCGATGCGCGCGTCGTGTGCGCGCTGGCTATCGCGTGGGAGTGCCGAGCGGCCGACGGTGCTGGTTTTGGGCAGTGGCACCTGGTCCATCAAGCTCTCCAACGGCAGCAGCCAGGCGGTGACGGAGTACAAGGCCAACGTGACGCAGCTGGTGCCGTCGCTGGACCGGTTGGCCAACACGACGCGCATCCTCTGGCTGCTCCAGGACCCTGTGGTGCCCGAGAAGCTCCACCCCACCCGTCGCATGATCACCAACGAGCTGATCGACCGCTACAACGAGGCAGCCACCCACGCACTGTAAGTCGACCGCGCTGTTGCGTCGCTGGCGAGGACCAAGACAAGACGTGTCGTTTGCAGAGATGAACCAATGTATGTTTGCCTTTAAGAATCTAGGTCGATTGTTGGTAGCAGTTGGTCTTGACCGTAATGTTCCGGGATCACCTTAAGGCGTTGTGTGCGACCGCTCATTGGGCCGTGTTATGTCGTTTGCTTTAGCCTTGATGCCGCCCATTTCCCGACAGGCGTTACAGCAGCGTGGAGCTGTGGAGCTCGATTCGGCTCATTTCCGAGGGGTACCACAATGATCAGGAGGATGGCCTACACACAGGAGCATTTGCAGTCAACTACGTGAGTCCTCCTCCTTGCATTCAAATATCATTTTATTTTGTGTTTCTTTCTTTTTTATGCAATTGATGTTTTCCATAAGTTGAAGCCATTTTTGAGTGGCTGTATGAGCCAGGGAGGAGGCCTTTTGATGAGGAGGAAAAGGAAGCTGGAGGGAGCCTCATCAATATAAGTGAAGAAATGGTGGCAATTTGGGAAACCTGATAGATAACTAAAGTCCTCAGCCCGGAGCCGCGACTGAGAAAAGGGGGATCACTGCAAGAATCTGAGTAGTTGGAATTTCATGCTTTCCACATGAGGACCCGCAGGGGGCTTGGGATTGCCTACCGTTTATTCTAAGCCCACGAAATGCATTACTCAATCTCAAGGTGTTGAGATATACAGGGTGTCCCACATAACTTGCACCCAACTTTACCAAAAGAACGGAGCGCTCTACGGGAGTGAAACCAATGTATGGTTGTTAGCAAGTGTCTTGGAAAAGTGCGCACATTTTTTTTAGTGCCTAGTTATTTAATTAAGACCAATTAGCCAACCTTTTATTTGTTTAAAGGGACACTGAAGGGAAGAAACAAATTTAATGCGAGAGTGTTAAGGAGCTCGTGTCACAGAAAAGCCGGCGTCAGTGGGACGAGAAAATCCTGAGTGGTCGACAGTCATGACATCACAACCACATGACCTTATGCGGGAATTTCAAACAACCCACACTGCTCACGGGAAACGTGATGTCACGAGTGGAATGAAAGTGATTAAAACATGGCATGTAATGCGAATTAAAGGTCACTGCATGTTTCAAATGATTTCACTTTATAAAGTAGTTAATATGCCTTAAAGAAAAAACTTGAAGAATTTTAGGCGGACACACTAGTGACTAGGCCACGCAGACACACGTGCATGGCTTTTGCTTTCCACTCTTAAAGGCAAAGCTTAACCGTCTTGAAATTTTTTTAAAGGGCTTAATTTTTTTATTTTTTGACCACTAAAAAAAAAAAAAAAAAAAGCTTTTATCAATGTTTGCATTGTTAGACACAATTTAGTTGGAGGTCACGGCATGCCCCCGCCCATTTCTACTGGATTGGGTTGGCTGCTCGGCTGAACATGCTAAGAAGTCTAGTGTCTCCCTTTCGCGACGTCCGGTGCTCTACTCTGGGGTCTGACACTGCTTGCTTGTCGTGCGAGCAGACGCACGGCAGCCACTGGCATCGTCTGCTATTCCACCACCATCTATCGTCGTCTGCAGTGCCTGTGAGACGCGGTCCCGAAAGCTGCTCATCGGCGTCTGTTTTTGCCTCTCTCCATTTCCTATTCTGCAACACTCACAGGGTTCAGGGGCTTGGAGCGCTGACGCTAGCGGGTGGCCTTGTGATTGAGGCGATCCGGGGTTCTCGGGGCTCGGAGGGTTCGGGGGTTTGGGGTGAGCGGGTGGCCATTGTGTTTCTCTGGTCGGGCTCACAGGGTTCTCGGGCCTGAAGCCCTGACGCTAGCGAATGGCCTTGCGGTTGAGGTGATCCGGGCTTCTCAGGGCTTGGGAGCCTGGGGCGCTGACGCCAGCGGGAGGCTTTTTTGTTGTGTTTCTCTGGTGCGTTGTTTCCCGGGCTCTCTCCAGCACACTCCCTGGCACTTTTTTTGGCGCATCTTCCCGCTCGGGCTCGCTTCCCCCGACGCCCGTCCCGTCCCAACTTGTTCCCCATGTCCGGTTTCTCCGCTCCCCCTCTCCTATTTCATCTTCTCGCCTTCCCTTCTCCCCTGGGCCGTCCCGTCACTGTTTACACTATCCGAAGCGGCCTGCTCACGTCATATGTCCTGTTCCTTGCCCCCACGAATGTCACAAGACCACGTGGTTCGACGCGACGTAGCCATGACTCTGACGACACGAGACCAATGTTGCCTGACGCAACCGAAATTTCGGTTTCGGTATCTGCTCATGTTTAAATTAGGATTACACAAATAATGTTCCACATTTCGTGAATCCAAAGACGTAGGGATGTTAGTAGTGCTTTGGGAAATGGAATCGCATATAAGCCTAAAATTTTGGGAATTGAGCGGAGTTGCCCTTTAAGAAACTTCTTGATATATGAACAGTGAGCAGCTAAGGAAACCAGGCATAGCTTGAATTTCTCTCCCCAACTTGCAAGCCAGTCTGCCAGTAGAGAATGTGACACTAAAATAATTTTGGTGGATCGGTAGTTTTCATTTATCCAGCAGAAGTAAACTGAAGGGAAATACCAACCATGTTTTTCTTGCCGCAATAATACCGTATTTACTCAACTAATAGCCGCACTGTTTATGAAAAAATCCTGAGGGTTTGCTTTTCCGCGGAGCACACAGATTGCCAATCACTGCAATTGACAGCATGATTCCGGCGGTTTACAGGGCAGAGATAATGTCTTCGCGCGAAGATACCATCTGTGAAGATGGCATTTGTATGGAGAATTGTGTCCTCGATCTAGTTAGTCACTATGTTATTTATGCGGAACGCGATGATTGGCTGTATATGTGTTCTGCGGGAAAGTCGACGCAAGGGCCTTCTTCATAAGTAGTTCGGCTATTACTCGAGTCAATACGGTAAACTGACCATCATCGAACCTTCAATCTATGTCGGAATGGAAAGCTAGCTGTTGGGTTCTGATTTTATAACTGTGCGTATAAGCCTGAAAAATGCATGAGCATGAATAGCATCTCCTTCTAGGAGCAGGCAATTTTTGCATTCAAAATTTCCTGACATTCCTCTTAACATGTATAACGCCCAGTTCTGGATTTTGGCACCTCATCCGAATCTCTAGAGCTACATTCAAATGGCGATCGAGCTGACTGAACATTCGCCTATAGTTTATTTTTGTTGTAGCAGCGTAGGCGAGTAGTGTTTCAGGCTTGCCATTTGTGTTGAACACAAAGAAACACGTCACCACTACATGACACCTTCCAAGCATTTCAAACGACCGCAGAGCTGATAAAATGGCGTGTTGTCATAAAAACATCACTAGATAGTACCGTGAGCAAGTAGCCGATGCCCCACCTTGCCAGCGCTGCGCTAGTGCTTGGGGAAACTACACAAGTGCCTCACAGCGCCATCCGCTTGGAAGGCCTCACGGAGGGCGCGCTGCATTTGCCACTACAGCCCTTCTAGAACACTGTAGTAAAGGGGAGGGGGGGCTGCGGGGCGGGCCACCATTACAAACTATGCAAAAGGGGAACTGATGATGGGCCAAACTTTTGCTAAATTGAAAATTCATTGCTGAATCTTGGGATTCGGCAAAGCTGAACTTTTCTAAACAGCATAATGGAAGACATATTGCACTGGGCTGCAAGCTTCTTGGATTCGAGGTTCAGGAACACATTTGGCAACTACACTGAAGACCAGGCAGCTTCAAAACTGAAAGGGACTTAGGAGCACCTTATTCGTCAGATTGAGGAGACCATGAATGCTCACGACAGCATCACAACAGCAACCTCGTCGCAGATGTCAGCGCAACCGTGCAGTACATCGGTTTAAGCAGTGACCCCACCTCCAGCTGGAGAATTCAGCCTGGGGTTTTCCAGCTCGGGCAAGATGGGACTGATCCAGTCACAAGCGCGGTCAGGTCATGCACCACCCCAGCATATGCCCAGGACAGACAAGCTGACAGTTATGAAGTGCAGAGTGACCCAGTGCAATATTGGGCAACAAAGAAAAAGCAGTGGCCTTCTCTTTTCATAATTACATTCAAGCGCCTGGCATGCCCCCCAGCCAGTGTTTACTCTGAGCAGGCATTCAGTGCAGCAGGCATGAGTGTAACTGAAAGGAGGGACCGACTGCATATGAAAAATGTTAGCATGCTGGCGTTAATTCGGATGAACAGGGCCTGGATCGACAAGACAGCTTCCCCAACCACTTCCATGCTGGACAGCTTCGGACATCGTGTGATCAATATTCAGCGGGAATCGCGGGGTGGGCGATTTTTCGGAATTTTACAGCAGAGCTGTTAAGGGCTAGGCTCCCTAGGATCGTGTCCGTGTGTGTCGACACAAACCTATTTGGACAGCTACCGCCATCTATAAGTGACGGCAGCAAGCACACAACCAGTATGGTTTCCGCCGTCGCTCGTAGATGGCGGCAACCTTTCCAGCTATAATAAAAGAATGGATAGTTGGGCGCGTTGGTGGGAATTCATCGTAGGAAACAGCGCAAAAAACAGACGACGAAGAAGCACACAGTGTATCGAGTACAGCTCCACTTGTCTTCTTTCTTCACGAGAGTGGAAAGGCTGAACGTTTTTTATGTTGCGGATATGCAGCCCACAAAATGGGAGGGGCAATCTCTCGGGGGCAGGCGTTCTCTCAGAACTTTAAGGTATACATATAGAGGTATATCTTCCACCGTGCTCTATCCCCACAGCATTGCTTACCCTCCCGTTCACTATATTTTTTTTTAAATGAACGGACTGTCCAGTATACAGAGTATTTCAGCTGTGCCAAGGCAACTTAAAAAAAGCTGATGTAGGCTATGCAGGTGGAACCAATCCAGTATTGTTTACAGTCCTATGGAGCTAGTGAAGAAATTTTGGACAATGTACCAAACTGGCTAAATAACGCAGATTATTTAGCTAACTACAGTAAAACCTTGTTATAACAAAATGGGATATAACAAACTAATGGATATAACAAAGCAATCATAATTCCCCTTGCTTGCTAATAGTGGGAAGAAATGGACAGTGGCTATAACTAACTAATGGTTATAACGAAATAATTACGACCACTCCTTCAGGTCTGTTATAACGAGGTTTTACTGTATTTTAAATATTAATTTGTGTGCAAACCCGTCAATGGTAAGCATACCTGCCAACTCTTCCGAATTTTTCGTAAAATGTATGAATTGGGACTAATTTTACGATTTTGCGAATCTTGCTTTAAATTTTGCGAAAAAATATATATTTAAAACAGATTATTTTTTTTTTTTCGTAAAATTGTTATTGGTGGTAACTTGCACCGCCACAAGAGGGCGATAGGTGCCGTCCACGGCAGCGTCGTAGTTTTTACTATCCGTCTATCCAGTGGCCACGGATCCAATCCAAAGCCCAAAGCCTTTGTTCGGCGTTCGGCGGCGCACATTGGTTCGGCGTGTTCAGACGTGGTTAAAAGCCTTTGTTTCGGCCAGTTTCGAGGCGAGAAGTGCGGCGTCTGTGTTTATTGCACGTGTGATCGTAGCATTCCCCTGGTCACGGTGGCTTCGTGGCGCGATGGCGAACTCCAAACCTCAAAAGAGGTACTTTCATGTGTTCCTGAAGTCCTACACGTCGGAATTCCCGTGCTTCGTGCCGGCCAAAAAGGGATAGAAGTTTGGATTCTGCAGCACGTGCACGTGTGATGTAAGCGTTTCGCACGGTGGCAAGGTTGACATTAAGCTGCACATCGCTTCGCAAACCCCGCCCACGGGAGTTTTACGAATTTGAAAGTCCACAGGTTGGCAGGTATTGTAGTAAGTTGTGGAGCGTGCTGAGAAATACCCATCATGTCGTATCCTCAAGGTAGCCTTTCAGTGTCTAATTTTTTTTCAAGCTTTAAAGACAGTGTGCAAGGTGGAAAAAAAATCTTACGTGACTACCTTCCAGTGATCTGCGATGTAAGTGCCCTTAGTCACTTGGAATTTTGTTTAAAACTCGCATGCTTTCTTAAAAAGACGCTAAAATGAAAACAAAGATTGTTTTTCTAGGTACTTATTTATGTCACAACATAAATTTTTAATAAAGAAAAAATTTTGGCACAATAGTTTTGCTGTGAGATGTAATTTAGGCGGAGGTCTCGGCCCTCTCTAAGCCCCACCCAAAGTCAGTGGCTCCTCCCATTACTACTGGATTGCCTTGGCTACTCGGCTGAACACGTACACAAGCCTAATGGCTCCGTTGCGACATCTGGTGCGTCTTGTCTGCTGCCTGCTCGTTGCGGGAGCAGATGTGCGTCAGCGTCCAGCGTCGTCTGCTGTCTTGCCACCATCTACCACCATCTGCAGCACTTGCAAGACGTCGCATGAAAGTGGCCCTCTAGCATTCCTCATGCACAAACCATGGTCCCATACAAGTATCTGTCGATGTGCACTAAAAAGCAACCGAAAGGCCTAAAAAAACAAAATCAACAAAATAAATATGCAGTCCTTTCAGCTGTTCTTGTTGTATTCTTGCAAAGCATTTGCGAGCAAGGTGGGCAAGCATTGTAACGCACAATAAAAAAGCAAACTAAAAATATTTGCTTTGGCAAGCCAGGTGCATTGCTCAAAACTTCAGAGCTACAGACATATCTGGACATACCTGATGCTAGGCAGGCACACAATTGCTTCCAGCCAAATGGCTCACAAATTCTTACCTGTGTAGGTATCCTCTCATTACTGAAACTATGGTCTTAATCACGACAATTGCATGATTCACAGAGCAGTGAGGCCGCTATTACAGGAACCGGTGTCTTTATTCAGCATCAACTCATGCAAACAAACAAATCAAGCCAAACAAAATAGTTGACATAGCACCCTAGGCTTCTGCCAGTCCCGCTACAAGAATAAGCACCCGCAGAGCACTTGCGAAGGCGGGTACTTACGACAGTTAGTTGTTTGCTGCAAACTACGTTGGTTCAGGAGACCTTTCTTTAAACATTTTGGTGAACGTGGAGTAACTCACACTTTTTAAAATAAACTAGCTCAAGCAGTGTATGAAACTGCTCGCCATATCTGCCGGCAGCCATGTTGATTATTGTTTGAAACCGAAGCAGAAGAGGCAATTGCATGATAATTTTGAAAGCAGTAACTCTATCTACATAGTTTGTTTCTCAAGCATGAAAATATTAACTATGTTGAATTACCCTGAGACTGGGGAAAACGATAGACATCAAGACTTGGAAGGAACAGAAAATAGACGACGTCTGAAGTAAAGAGTGTCTGAAATGCTAGGGCTCGATCTAGAATGGGCCGTAAAAATCGGCACTTGCACGTAGCAATTTAAACCTTTTGTCAAAGGTGGATTTCACAGGTGGATTTTACCTTGTAAAACTATAAGGCGTAGCTTCCTTTCTGTAAAAAATGGGGCCAGGGTCAACGACGGATAGCGATGCAGACGACTAAGTCGAGTGGCGGGGCGTATTTGGCGCACATGTTGATGGATGGCGTCGGGAGCAGCGTCGGTAGGTGTAGCCGACCAGCGAAAGGAAGCAGGCGACACAAAGACGAAATCCGTCAGCAGCAAGAGCGCCGTTATGCAACCGCGTTACGACGAAAGGACAACGTCTCTCGAGATGCCGTCTATTTTTTTTTTCTGTTCCTTTTATGTTTTAGTGTTTCTCTTCTTCCCCAGTCTCCGTTTAATTCAAAATAGTTAATATTCCCAGCTCGCCTGCACTCTTACTATAAAAATGTGTTGAGCGAAATTGCAGAGAAGCAATTTTACAGCCAGCATTCCACACGTCATCTCTCCAGCCAATGAGAGCTGAGAAGTGGGGTCTAGAGCTGGCCTACCTCTTCCTAAATTGTGGCTCGTAATGTAAATATTATGCTAAATTTTTTTTTTTTTTTAAGTTGATTTTGTAAAATAAGCTTGAAAAAAATTGGCACACGGGTTTCCTGGATGGAAATGACACGATGACATGTTTCTCGACACGCTCTACAACTTTTCTGTTAGGGGCACACGAATTAATATTTAGAAAGCAAATTAATTTGCGTTAATTAGCCAGTTGGACACACTGCAAGAACTATCTTGACTTGCTCAATAGGACTGTGAACAGCTTTGGTTTGACATGTGTAGCATGCAGCAGCTGAGCCTGGGCATAAGTTAACTGTGAGCCCTCCATTCCTGGCACATTGTGAGGCTGTGCAGAGACCATTCCTTTTTTGTGCAGGCGATTCAGATCCTCACCAACATGTATTGCAATGACCACATGAACTACAATGACGGCACCTGCTGCAGCAGCTCGGAGCCTGTGACCATGCTGCAGATAATCACCTTCTCTGCTTTTGGGGTGATGTGAGTGACTTCCCTAATGCATTTCTACATAGGGATTTCGTATCCGTGGCATGTAGCCTCAAGGACGTCTCCCCAAAGGTGCTCTGAATGCTTATAGGTCCTCTGTGGCATCACGTGACACCAGCACAACATCATGTCGCACAGTGAAGTGAAATAATGACACTGGCATTACATGATATCACGATGACATGTTAAGTCACGTAACTCCATGTCGTCCCGTGACATGCTGAGGTCACCTCGAAGGCATGTTGCAGTGTGACATTAGTTGATACCGTGATGTGGCACCATGGCGTGACAATGACATTGGGTGACACCATACGTAACATTGGGACACTAACAGCTCTGTATATTTCTAAAACCCTCGCAGTGTGCCCGCAAGAGGAGGAGCGCAAATAGGCCCTAGAAGTGCATTTAGAACACCTTCGGAAAATGCCAAAGCCAATTTTGTGTATTGGAAGAAATGTCTGTTGGATTGTGTGTATATTTTTCTGGCTCCTGTTGCATGCACCAATTCCAATGCGCCGTTTTCTTCAAGATCAATTCTAGCCCTCGCTATGATTGTCCACCGGCACCTTCAGTTGAGAAGGGCCCGAGCATTTCGTGCCGATGATGTCCAATGTCTCGTCAATGGTGAGTTTTCCCTTCACAGGCCTGCTATCATTTTTGGGAAACTCTCCTTGTTTTATGACTTAACTTGTTTCAATTTCTCAACATTGCAGGTTCCATCAAGCAGCAGAAAACAAAGGACTCGTGGTACATCCTACTCACCAATCTGTCAAAGCTTGGCTTGATCATGGGCTACTTTTTCCTGTGTGATCGGTGAGGGTGCTGTTTTTTAATTAGATGGATGCAGCTTTTTTCTTGGGTTTCTACTGCACCTGAAAATTCCTCTGCGCATAGGTAGTTTGCTCTGGGGGATGTGGTGTGCCTATTGTTGCAATGCATGGAAATGGGATGCCACGAATACACAGGATGTTTCACGAAACACTGACTGAATCGCTCCTACCAAAAGGATGGTCGCGGTATGCTTTCAATTGGTAGAAACTTTTATTTATTCAACCCTTAAAGGTCCAATGGGCATTACATAAAGGGGGGGGGGAATATTCGGGGCATTATTGAAAATTCCTAAATCACCACACTTTACGAACATAACTAATGTGCAGCATTTTGACAGCATTATAAAAATTAAAACACTCAGTTGGACGTGTGTTTTGGTTTCCTATTGAATGCATCCCGGTGCCGGCAGTCCTGCTCCCCCATGGCCAAAGCACACAAGTAACGTGCGCCACCACTAATTCTTTGCATGACAAAGGTGAACCCAAAAATGCAAGCTTATTCTTGCAATGTCATTTGAACAGTAGCACGTTTTCTCTGCTACGCTGGAAGTGAGGCGGTAGTGTCACGCCTTAGCCACGGGGACCAGGACCGCTGGCACGGAGCTGCCTCGGTGGCTTGGAGGCAAAGGCCTACGGATCCCCAAGTGGGAGGTCTGAATCCCGGCCGAGGTGCCCGCAATCTGACGGAGGCTCACGGCAGGGAAGGCAGAGATTGCAATGGTAGGTCAAAACATCCCCGGGTGGTGGAAAGTAATCCTCCCTCCTCCACTGAGGCATGCCAGATGCCCCTCGTTGGTTGGGCATGTAAAGCCCTCAAATCTGACTTTGCTGGTACGGAGGTGTGTTCCAATAGGAAACCGAAACTTAGAAATGCATTTGAATGGAGTGTTTTTTCGGAATGCTGTAAAAGACCTCGCGTGCCTTGTTTTTTTTATAAAGTCTGCTCATTTAGTGGTTTTTGACGATGCCCAGAAAGGAGGGTGAAGAATAAAAATTAGTGTGACTTCAATCACAATTTAAATCTTGATTTAAAGTGATTTAAATCACACTGGTTTTCACATGATGACTTAAGTTGAATGTTTCCCGCTGAAATAATCTCAAACATATTATTTATTGCATTTGTGCATCGTTCGGTTCTTTTTGTGTACATTTATTTGTACCATATAACTGAATCAATAGGCAGCCAAGATGCTCCTCAGTCGGAAGACAAGCAAAAAGCGGTTAATTGGAGCATTGAGTCGTCCTATTGCATGGAAAGGAAGAAAAAGTGTGCACACAACCAGCAGAGAGGGAAAAAGTAGTGATGTGATTGCTGTGCCATTTGCGCTAAACTGCGCCGAAGGGCATACCGTGCTACATCCTGCTATATTTTACAAAAATGTGAGGAATTGGCGCCAACATTCTGCCAAAACTTAATTTCACTTTAATAATACTGAAAATAAATGGCTCAGGCCTCGCTACCCAGCCGGATTGTTATCATGTGATTGTGCAGGTTTTTTAGAACTTTCACTAATCGCCTCAAGTAATGTGCTATTTGATTTGATTTCGCATCAAACACTGACAGTACTTGGAAGTTTTGCAATAATTCTCAACTTTGTGGCCTGCTCTGGCGGGTTAGTATCGTTGAGTGCGCTTCTCACCGTACACTGATGTACTGCAATGAAGCAACAACTGCCAAGTAGTCATTGCTGTTTTTGTGTGTCTTGCTTTGCCGCAGCACACTCCTATGCTCCGGGGAAAACACTTCTCCAAAGCGAGACTTGGCACAATTTCTGAATGAAACGGCTGGCCGCTGCCATGCTTCTGCTCGTGTGTGCACGTCCGTGCAATTCCAACCTTGTCAAAGCTACCTTCACGCGCACGCCGCACGTGCTTGCACGCATGGGGCACCAGTCGGGCTCCATGCTTGCAATTGTCTATACACCGTTCTAATGTTTACAAAATCACAACCCATCGTGGAAACAGCCCAGCACGCGCGTGGTCATCGCTTCGGAAAGCGATGACCACGTGCACGAGCTCTGAATATGGCACCGACCAGTAGCCCATTTTTGGAATGGTCTATGCAACGTTCCGATGTTCACGAATCCACATATAGTCGAGCCCGATTATATCACACCCGGGTATTTCGAGTTATTGTTTAAATCGAACAGTCCAAACATCCTCTTGAAAATCACATGTAATAGTACAGGAGCTTTGTTTTTCTTTATCGAACTCCCGTGGCGAGGACACTCGATATAGCGAACCAAGCACGGCCGCTCGCACGGCCGCCCGTCGCTCTCCCGCGGTCGAGTTGCACCGGATTGCGCCCGTGGTGAGTAAATAGCTCGCGTTGCGGGGCTGGCAAACCGCCAAGCCAGCATACGCGCATAGGGATACGCTGCAGCGAAAAAGCAATTGTAAAAAAGAAAAAAGAAATAATAATAATAAACGGAGGATGGCAAAAGGAACGGGAAGGGCACACGCGCGTGTAGGGAGGGCAGGCAGTGCTCGCTGTTGGAACGGTAGCGTGCGCTCTTTCCCCGAACACCGCTGTAGCTGCACGAGTCCTTAGCCCCAAAATAAAATAAGCAAAAAAGAAAAGAGAAAAAGAAGTCTGCATGAAGTTGAAGGCCCGTTCACACTCTTGCGACCGAGTAAGACTGAGAGAGACCAGACCGGTTTTTAACCCTCTTGCGATCTCTTAGGACCAGCTCCACTGCTGCGCATCCGGTCCTAAGAAGTCGCAAAAGGCTTAAAACCGGTCTGGTCTCTCTCGGTCTTACTCGGTCGCGAGAGTGTGAACGGCGTTTGAGTGTGTCGACAACAACCAATCGCACTTTGAACCCCTTATCTTTGTTTACCTTTTTCTTTCGCCATTTTTACTTTGCCCGTTTTGCCTTTCCTTTTTTGCTGCCTGAATTTAGTGAGGTTTCTTTTTTGTGTTGCTTGCTTAAAGGGGCCCTGCAATCATATGTAAGCGTCTACCTTTTTTGCGGTTTCCACGTCTCTTGGGGTTCGGGCAAGCCAGCAGGCACGGAGAGAGTAACTAAATATCAGCGCATCATATTTTAACCGGACGACGCAGAAACCTCCTCCACCTACGGGGGCGCCCCACAGTGCCGAAAGCGCTCTATATGTGACGTCTCTGGTCCTGGGCTTACTACTGGTCAGAGCCGCTAAAAGCTTCTTTTTAGTCGAAATACAAAATATAAGTGGCGCGAACCGTTTCAATTATAGGGTCTAGCCTTGTCCGTCCGGCGTCCGTGTTCACATCAATCTTTTTGGTGCTCGTGCTCGGGATCGTGGTGACTGTACTCGTGAGCTCACGTGCTCGTGTAGGGGAAAAAAAAAAAATAAATGATGAAAAAATAAATAAATAAATAAATGTTTGCGCAGTTGACAGGATTCGAACCTGTGCGGGAAGACCTCAATGGATTTCTAGTCCATCACCTTAACCACTCGGCCACGACTGCGGGATGAGTAGGGGGCTCTGAGATGTGGTAGTAACTCAAGAGCTGGGGATGTCATGGATGAAATGTTGCATGTAGCCGCTCAACGTCTATACAGGAGAGGACGCTGCAGTCAAAGCGTATATAATCGCGTTAAACTTTGCATGCATTGGCTCAACGTTTATAGATGGGAGGGCGCTGCGGTCAAATGCTCAAATGCGTATATAACCAAGTTCCATACCACACATTCTCTTTCTGACATGGATGAAAACGAACGAAAGGCTCGGCATGCTGCGGCTCAGCGTCTACGCAGACAAGCACCACCAGAGCTTCGCCCCAATCAACATCGTTCACCACGTGGAGATGCGGTCATTTTTTTTGTTCAGTATTTTAGATCAGAAAAGAAACGGATGCAGTTCATAAAGTACGGAAAGAAGAAATGACCCATCAACATCCCCGCCACCAAGCGGTGGAAAAGGCGGTGCATACTAGAAAGGAGCAGTGAAACCAGGCGCCGACACGGAAAGGTCCCGGATGTGTGCTGCGGCGCTGCGGTCGTATGGACAGGAGGATCCGACCGGCTCCGAGCGTTTTAAAGGCCTTCGGCGAGAAGCTTTGGCTTGTGGTTTGGCTGTTTCGCGGTATGGCAGCGCAAAGTGGCTCCCATTCTGAACTGATCTTTACCCCGTGTTTGCTGTCGTTTGTGGCCAATGAAGTGCCATGCCGAATTAGTATTTAATCGCGCAGCAAATGCAATGAGAGCCTCTCTGGCTGCCGGCTGCATACAGCCTACCCAGAACATGCTTTAGTGGCGCCCTCTCGCGCCGTCAACACAGAGTGCTGCAGCCGTGAGCGCTCGATAAGCTCACTACCCCTTCTCTAGTTCACGGCCACTCTCAAGCAACCAAGGACGTCATGAGGGAGGTTATTTTTTGCTTGTTTTTTGTAATTTCGATTTGCCTATAACTTTTAAAATAAAGCGAAATTCGAGAAAATAAAATTTTCACTAAGTTACCAACGTTCAGTGCACTCAGGTTCGGTGCAAATTAAAAACCTGTAAAAAAGCCTTTGCTAAGGCTGCGGTCCCACGGCAACCATGACATATGACGCTTTCCACACGTTTTCGTAATGCCATTATGGCGTGTTCAAGCTTGCTAAAATTATGTTTTATATCATCTTGTAGTGTACAACATTATCTTTCCTCTGATGTAGGATTTGTTTTCCTAATGCAAGAAGCTAATTGAGTGGGCACCCACGAATATTGGCCTTTTCGGCAAAACTTGGTTTTGTGGTACAGTGGTGCAGGGTGCACTATTGGAGAAATTTCGTTCACATTTTAGAATGTTATAGAAGAAGAGTGCGTTCATTGTCATCCGAAGCCCTTTTTTCGTTTTTTGTTTTATTTTGACAGATATATACTTTAGAAAAACTGACTCCGCGGAAGCACATTCAGTCGCAAATTTTTTGGCGCCTACTCGGTCATTTTATTTGAATCTTTTTACAGGTGTTTTTGAAAGAGCTACACTAAATTTTATTGTAATATGACCAAAACGTT